GAGTTCATCTAGTCCCAAACGAGGCAGTGGTCATGTCCCCCCAGTGGTCTGGCTTAGTTACGGTTTGCAATCAAACTTTTCAGTGTTCCATGCATAATGTCTGTTATTTTGACAGGTAAAAGAATTGTACTTGTAAATTTGATTTGTACTTGTAAATTTGATTCGTACTTGTAAATTTGATTCGTAATGTGGCAAAGCTGTAACTTTTTAACTTGTATTTGTAACTTAAAAACTGGTATTCTCACATAAGAATTGMACTTGTAAATTTGATTTGTACTTCTAATTTGGCAAAGTTGTAACAAATTTATGTACTTTTATAGACTTACATGTACAAATTTAGACTCTTACACATACAATGATTCTGACAGTTGTCTTACCCCATACAAGCCCATCATTCACCAACAGCATYAAGTTACACACAACTCCAGCAGGGGGCAGTGTAAACACATCATTGTTTTGGGAAAGTCAGCAAAAAGTCCAACAGTGTGAAGAGTTAATAATGAGCTCATCCCTAAAAGATCATTGAACTTGGTCTCTCTCTTGCACACACACAAACTCACACTGGTGCCTGTGTGACCAAAATGGATAAATTACCACAACACTCCTCAGTGCCAGTCCGACACGGCCAACAGCGGTGAGGTTTTTCTGTTCTCTCCAAACAAAACAGATTTCACAAATTCACACATTTAAACCAGAGAGTGGAAAAAAATACCCCAATTCAATGATTTACTGGTGAAACCACAAGAGTGTGATGGATTAGGCTGGGCAACGAGCTCTGATGTGCTGCGACATAAACACTGCTGTGTGGGAAACAACTTCACCTATTTTTAAAAAAGTAACAGAATTTGTTACTTCCTATTAAAGAGTTAATGTGATAAAAAACAAACAGCTAACATAAAGTTACACCCATGTAAACAGCTCAGCTGGGCAATAAAATACCTACCTTTAATTTGTAGCAGTTGTTTGATATTTTGATGAATTTGTATAACTTATCAACCGATGACTCAGTAAAAACCTCAGGTAAGCAACTAAATGAAGCTGATCAAGTCTAAAAATATCAGCACACATTTAAATATTGTGGAAACAGCTCTGATTTTGCAATCCAACRGTGGCCCTATAAAAACTGCCAGGTTTAGTCAGGACTGGTTTGTGTGTGCTTGAACCAGATTTAGACAAGAACTGATGCAGTTTACTGTATTCTCACCTTCTCTATGTTGTTAAACAAGCTCAAGATAAAGAACTGGGTCAGGTCTAGCACCTGGGACCATAGGACAGCTTTGTTTCATGCATGTTTAAGTAGAGAMATATATATTTTTGCCCTCACAGATTTGTCAAGACACCACAGCTGCCAGGGAAGCTACAGTCAGGAGATGGTTTGCTTAGTTTAGCATAACATTTGTACACAGAACCAAAACCACCAGCTTGACTAGG